ATGAATAATTTGAATTTTAGCTGAATTTGTTTATTAAATATTTAACAAAATAGCAATAGATAGATAGTATAAACTTATTTAATGTTCAGTTTGTAGGAATTTTTGATACAATGTAAACACCCTATTGCGCAAAAGTGTATTCTCAAGTGATCCCATCACGCTCTCGCGAGAACGTATCGTTGACCTGTTTTAGAACCACGGGTTTTCAGCAGATTCATTTTTTCCACTCTCTAATTTGGCGTTTAGTTGCTCTTTTGAAAAATGAAATTTTATTGTATTTATAATAATTTGTAAATCACTATTAAGTTTAAGAATTATTAAGTTTGTTATGTTTATATCGCATTGAATTAACTAATTTTGATCAGACCGCCAATGTAAAAGTAAACTTGCAATTGCCTACAGATGTTAGCAATTTTTCGCCTCGGGGTGAATGGAAACAAAGCCATAAATTCGGATTAAGGAACGGGATGCAGGCAAAAGGACGTCGGTGGTACCAATTGTGCCACCAGCGGTAAATGTACAAAAAAATGCAGGTCATATACAGCAGATGTAGCATCTTGCGTTTGCAAAAACATGAATAATTCTTTTTTATTCAAAATAATCAAAAACGCAGCAATTCCATATTTTCACTTTCACTCCATTGCATTTCCGTGTAGGGAGATTACTGTTAGGCACAAAGTAACGAAAATCCTGTTGGTACTACTTTCGGCCTAAAAGATTGTTCTAAAAGCGTTCGCGGAACGAAAAGGATCGGCTCTGAAGCTGAATCGCTACCGCGAAAAAAGCTATTATTCGGACCCTGTGGTCTAATCACTCCTGTGGCTTTTGTAGATTTCAACTTTGTCGATACTGCAGCCAGAGCGTGACACTGGCCAAATGAACGAAGACCAAGAGTGCGCTTCTCGCCAGATTGTCAGGCATGTGTGCGTGGCATATCGCCGCTACCTGGAGGCTCATTTGTATCTGAAGGCAGCAGCGCTCAACCGAGCTCAATCCCGGCCGAGCGGGGGAGCAGTTCTGCCTCCATATAAGGTGAGTGTTTGTTAGCGCTCGCAGCGACAGTAGAAGTAATCGATTTTCTCCAACAGCCCTGCAAATCGTCTCCCGAAGAAATTCAACAAAATATCGAGCTTCTCCTGGAGCGAATGCCGTTCAGATGCCATTGGGCGCCAGTAGATCAGCTGTTGAAGCTGGGCGATATCACTTTGCTGCTCAAGATCATCGCGTTCGCCTACGAGTGGAACTACGGCGGCAGAGGGGAAATTGTGCGATCGGCCCTTGAAGTTCTAGCCATTGCGTGTGTGATGCCCAAAGTGCTGGCATTGCTGTGCGAAAAGGTCGATCTGCCGGAAGAGCGACTAACGGTGGGATTCAGCATAGTGGTTGGAGCGGCAGAGGGCGACATCGTTCGCGACTCGGACGTGGAAAAGGCCGCCTTAAGAGTGCTGGTGAATTCTGTCTGTGCGCCGATTCAGCGCCTCGGAGGGTCTGCGATGCGGCTCTCGCATGGTTCGACAAGCTCCCCGTCCAAGAAAACCAAGTACAAGAGCTCGGAGGAGCTGATTCAGAAGGTGTGGGACTGCGTGCGCTCGAATAGCGGCATCTTGGTCCTGATCCAGCTGATGAACTGTAAGACACCGATTACAGACGCTGATTCCATCCGAACGTTGGCTTGCAAAGGCCTGGCCGGGTTGGCCAGATGCGAAACTGTAAGGCAGATCGTATCGAAGCTGCCGCTTTTTACCAGCGGCGAGTTGCAGAACCTGATGCGCGACCCCATTTTGCAAGAGAAGCGCCAGGAGCATGTAGCGTTCCAAAAGTACGCCATCGAGTTACTGGAAAGACTCTCGGGAAAAACCAAACACGGCGCCAATGACCTGGAGGTGTCGTTAGCGAACATTCATCGTATCCATAAGGCCAATGTGGTGGCGCAGACTAAGATACAGTTCAACGACCGACAGCTGCTGCAGCTGATCCACCAGCACTTGGTCACCAAGGGGTTCATAGACACAGCGTCCAGTCTGGTGAAGGAAGCTGGACTGAGCAACGCGATAATGTCGCTGTCGGCGCAACACCCCACCAAGTTCCGGTACACCACCAACTTGACCCCAGTTAGGACTAGATTGTCATTCTCGTCGCCCTCAACAGTCCGCGCTTTGTCCGTATTGCCAAGTGGCAGTGAACCGGCGGCAAACGGATCCACGCCCACCATCGGCCCGATAAAGCTGATCAAGAAAACCCCCGTGCATTCGCAGCTCGCCACCACGCCGGTGCAAAAGTTGCGCCTGCAGAAGCAAATCTACAATGAGCCTGTGGTGCGCCCGATTTTGCCGCCGCCTGAAGAGCCGCACGACCCCCCTCGAATCACCCTCGACTCGATCATTACCGAGTATCTGATCAATCAGCATGCACTGTGCAAAAACCCGATGGCCACCTGTCCCCAGTTCAATCTGTTCGCGCCCCACAAGTGTCCAGACCCGAAGCGAAAATTGGTGCCGATCAATTTCGCCATGCGCCATGCACGCAGGGAGATGGGCTACCAGTCGCGGTCCATGGATCGGCGGTTCCTGCATTCCAGGTTCTGCCCGGTGCAGACCATTCGCTCCAACACGGAGGAAGGGTTCTTCACCTGCGCCAAGTTCCTGCCGGCCAGAAACTCGATCATTGTGGGCGACTACAACGGCGACATTCACATCTACGACAAGTTCACCGGGAATGAGGAGCACTCGTTCTCCGCCCATGACAACTACATAGTGCACATGGAGCCCAACCGAACGGGGGAGCTGCTGTTGACCAGCTCGACATGGGGCGGCCCCATTTCCGCCCTGTGGGGCCTCAAGGACTTTGACCTGAAGTGAGTAAAACTTCTCAATTTCTGGAGTTGGAAAACTCCGTTTCTTCAACTTCCTAGTCCTGAGATGCTGATGTCCAGCTTTCGTACCATCGCTTCGGTGGTCTTCCTGATAGTCTTGAGCTGTTAGGTTTTTGGTTTTTGGCGATTTTTGCCATTCTCTCTACATGGTTTCTCCACGCTCTTCTCCTTGTTCTGGTCCATCTTACAACATCCGAAACCTTACAGGTATCTCTCTAATTTCCTCACTCCTTTTCATATCGTATAGTGTGTGTCCTGTTATGGAGCTTAGGACTCGCATGTCTGTTGTTCTTAGCAAGCGTTTGGTTGTTGTGTTTTCCGCTATTGTTTCTGCGGCGTATGTCATCACTGGTCTCACGCAAGTTTTGTAGATTCTGACTTTACTCCCTATACTCATGTGCTTGTTTCTCCAGATGGTGTCTCGCAAGTACCCCGATATTAGAGCTGCTTTTGATGTTTGATCCCTTACTTCCTCCCTTAGATTCCTGTTACTCGTGATGTTTGCTCCAAGATATTTAAAGGTCATCACCTGTTCTACACTTTGGTTGTAAACGGCGAGTTTGCATCTTCGGGGCTCTTTGGATATAGGAAAACTCCGTTTATACTCTAAAAATTACCGACTTTTCCACGCTTTATTAAGGTCTGTTTCAAGGCTAGAAAAACAGATTATCGAATTCACTGGGGCCAGTGGTCGGCAAACTTATTAGCCAAACAGCCAAATATGAACATTACAGCAATTTAAAAAACTGGGGCCCAAACCACCGGTTGCACCGTTCTCGCTTTAAACACTGATTGATTAACAAACTAATCGTCTGTTAGTTAATCAGAGAATCACTATGGCACCGCCGCTTTTTTGGCTTAGGTTGCTATATTCATGATTATCGAATTTTATTTCACATGATCTTTCGCAGCAACACGGCCAGTAATATATTGGTTATGTTATATTTTATTGTGTACTCCTTGTCTTCATATATGTGTACCACTGACCTATAATATATAATATATATAAGCCTTGTTCTATGCTACTGACTACTGTACTAGCATCTACTAGACGTCGACTAACAATGCAAATCAAAGCTCTAACAAGGTCTGAAATAGCTGAAAGATACGAGCAACTGCTTGATAAACGGCTAGAACTAGCAGATTTGCAGAAAAACTTAATCTTTTTTGACATTAAACTGGTTGTTTATATTAATTTTTATTGAAAAACCTTAAAAATTAAAACTCCGTACAAGGTCAAAGGCAACGTAAGAAACTTCTTTATAGTGTAACTCACTCTAATAGGTATTAAAAAATACGAATTACAGTTGAGTCCGGATATAACGAACTTGGAAAATGAGCTAAAACTGGTTCGTTATATCCGGACTTCGCTATAAGTGTACATAATAATACAAAAACACGTGGTGTATTTTATTGCGTTATTTTTACATAGAGTAGTAGAAGTTAGTAGGTATGTCTAAAAAGAACACAAAAAGATAAACAAAATTCAATTTGAAATCTATTTCATAAAGTCTGTAATTTTTGTTTGTACGTTTCACCTAAATCGTCATCTTTCTCATTATCGCTTAAAGCTGTAGATGAGGTTACGGCGTATAATTTGCTCATCGGTCAACATTTCTCTTGTAAGAACGCCATTATCAATGCTCACATATTCGAAGAAATTGAAATCACTCAAATTGGTTTTAACTTGTTCTTCGACAACATTGGAACATCTTCGTCTGTGTCATACTCGTAGTCAGAGTCTTTATACTTTTCTAACCATTCGTTAAGTGGAATTTCATCGTCTGGTT